TCGCCTCCCCCGCCCACCCCAGAAGCAATGGCCAAGTGGAGCGCGCCAACGCGGAAATCCTCAAGGGCCTCAAAACCAAGACCTTCAACATCCTCAAGAAGCACGGCGACTCGTGGATCGAGGAGCTGCCAGCGGTGCTCTGGGCGAACCGAACCACGCCAAGCCGAGCAACCGGGGAAACGCCTTTCTTCCTCGTCTACGGCGCGGAGGCGGTCCTCCCATCTGAGCTCACCCTGAGGTCCCCTCGGGTCACCATGTATTTCGAGGCTGATCAAGATCAGCTTCGCCGAGACGACCTCGACTATTTGGAAGAGCGAAGGCGGCGCGCGGCCCTCCGAGCCACGCGCTACCAGCAGAGCCTGCGGCGCTACCATCAGCGCCACGTCCGGGCCCGATCACTCTGCGTCGACGATCTCGTCCTACGCCGCGTCCAAACGCGTGCTGGACTGAGCAAGCTCTCACCAATGTGGGAGGGTCCGTATCGAGTGATCGGCGTCCCCCGGCCGGGCTCCGTTCGGCTGGCCACGGGCGACGGCACAGAGCTGCCTAACCCGTGGAACATCGAACACCTTCGTCGCTTCTACCCCTAGTGGGGGTCGGGTGTCATTTCTCGGGCTCGGGCCAACCCCGCACCCCCCCGGGGCGTGCGGGTTGGCCGGGGGCTACCACATGCATATACTTCCCTCTTTTTTCTCTTCCGTATTTCAATAAAAGCACTTTCGATTTCCTGAGGACTGTGTTTGTGCCATCGTTTCCTTTTGAAGGATCTTGGCTTGAATTAGCACGCTCGTGCCCGACCCTGCCCTCGGTGGCCCGGGCCGGCTAAAATCGCCAAACGGGGCCCAGAACCGAGCCGTGCCCCGGGGCGTGGTGAACTCCGGGGGGGAATCAGCAAAGGCCCACAATCGGGTCATCCATAACCCTCGGTCACCGCGCTCCCGGCCTGGCCAGTCTCGACACGTGGATCTCCCCAGGCACTAGCCCCGACCCGCGCCGTTTGAGGCTGGGACCTGGGCACGAGCCCTTGTTCAAGCCAAGACACAGAAGGACCGTGGCACAGACCATCCTCGTATCATACACACAACAAACAGAACTGACACAGAAATTTCCTCTTTACTTGATTGCAGATTAAATCAGTCTATACAAGAAGGGGGCCCGAAGGCCTCGGAAAAAGAAGAAAAAGTTATTAAGATTGGCGGGGGCCTGGGGGCTCATTCCGACGCGCCCGGGTCGCCGGCCTCGTCGTCGCTGTCGTCCGCACCGTCGTCACCGCCCTCCTCGTCGGAGTCGAGGGCGAACGCGAGCCGAGGGGCCGTACCCTCGAAGCTGTGGACGATGTGGTCGGCGGCGTCCCGGACCTGCGCGCGCGCGCCGTCCTCGGTTCTGGGAGGGAACTCTTCCAGCGCTGCCCAAGGGGAGAAGTCAGGGTCCCTGGCCTGGTAGCTTACCAGCACGAGCTCCACCGCCCCCCGGGCGAGGTCCCTCGAGGACGACTTGATCGTCTCCTCGAGCTCCTCGGGGAGCCGCTTGAGGACCCCGGCCATCTCTGAGAGGCGCTGGGCGAGGCCCCCCTGATTGGCGGCGTACTTCGCGCACCGCCCGCCCCAGAGGCACGCCTGCCGCCCGGCGCAGTCTAGACGGGAGACGGCGTCCCGAAGCATGCTGGGCCCTACCTCGCCCGCCAAGCGGAGGGCCTCGACCTCCCCGGCGGACGAGTCCAGCGCGCCCTGCAGCTCGGCGATGGTGTGTTCGGCGGCTGCGAGGCGGGCGGCTAGGTCGCCGTCGCCCGCGGCCGCCCCGCCGCTATGCGCTCTCGCCTCCAGCTCCTTCACCCGCGCCTCGAGCTCAGCGGCCCGCTGATCCAGTGCGGCCCTCTCGGCACGGGCGCCTTCCAGATTGCGGCGCGCCTGCTCCTCCCGCGCTGCCTTGCGGAGGAACAGGCTGTCCGCCAGCCGCTGCGCCGCGGCCTCGGCCTCCTTGAGAGCTCGCCCCCGCTCGGTGAGCTCGTCCTCGCGGAGGCGGAGTGCGGACTCCTCTTCGGCGCAGGCAGCCTCGTGCGCCGCCAGTGTTGCCTCCCTGGTGGCGACGGCGGCCTCGCGGTTCGTCAGGTCTCTCTCCTTCGCGTCCAGGGCGCGGGCGCGCTCCTCCAGCGCCGTGGCGCGAGCCTCAAGGGCCTCTTCGCGCTGCCGGGACGCCGCCTCATTCTCCGCCGCCCGCCGTTCCCGGGCAGCGGCGGCGTCAAGGACTCCCCGGGCGGCGTCGAGCTTCTTCTCTAGCTCCGCCGCCCGGCTCCCGTATTGGAGGCGGAGGTCGTCCCGCGCCTCGTCGAGCACGGCGGTGGCGATGAGGGCAGTCTCCCGCTCCTCCTCCACCTCCCTGGCGATCTCCGCCAGGTCCCTACGACGGGCCTCGAGCTCTGAGGCGTGCCGGCGGTGTGCCTTGCGGCCCGCCTCCACCATGGCCTCCACCGAGCGCCGCCCCTCCTCGACGCGCGCCCACGCCGCGTCGAGCTCCGCCCGCTCTGCCTGCAGGACCTCCATTTGGGCACTTAACCCGTCCAGCACCGTGGTGTTCGCGGCGGCCAAGGCCTGCAGGAGGGGCTCCGCGCTCAGTGGGGCAGCGGAAGGCAAAAGGGAGAGCTGCCTCGGTGTGGGTGCCGCGCGGCTCGGCCCGCCGATCGACATGCCGGACTCGGGGGCGCCCCCCGAAGCTGGCTCGTCCCAAGCGTCGCCCGAGGGGTCGGGCCCGAGCGGCGCGCCCGCGGCCTCGTCGTGGGTGGCCTCGGAAGTCGTCGTCGCCTCGGGCGGAGTCGGGTCGGGGGCTTGGCAAACCGCCTGGCGTGCGCGCGCCGCCTCTGCCTCCCGGACGGACTCCCTGGCCCGGCGAAGTCTGGCCTCCTCCCGAGCGGCCTCCTCAGCTTGGCAAACCCGGACGGCCTCCTGGGCAGCCTCCTCGGCTTTCCGGAGGCGGTCCGCGGCTTCTCGCCGGTCAGCTTCCCGCCTCCGGGCCTCCGCGGTAGCCGTCTCCTCGGCCTCGGACCGGCCGGACTTGGAATGGCGAGGGGGGCGCGACGGGATCTTGCTGAGGCAGAAGAAAAACCAGTGGACAAGAAGAAACGGGTGAGTGAAAACTCGCCTTGGGAGATGGGAGAATGAATGCGGCCGCGGTGGGCGCGGGGACGAACCTGCGGGGAGGTCGGCTAAACGACCACCTCGGGGGCGAGATGAGGTTCCCCCGGCATGGCTGTCACACCCCGAAGTTCTCCTCCCAAGCCTAAAATTTAATTTTTAAACGACCCCCAAGAAAATGCAGGTGCAAATCAAGAGAAAACCCTAGGATAGTAATGCAAATAATAATCGGATTTGACATGTGGAATTTTTCTTGAGTTCTACATGCCGAAATTCATTAACAGGATTTTTAGTGGAATTTTCAGAGCTCTAGAAATAATTTTAACCAATTAAAATTGAGCAAGCAATATTTTAATTCCAGGAAAAATCCTTTTTCCTTTTTCTTTTTCTTTTTCCTCCCTTTTTCCTCTTTTTTTTCGAATGGGCCGCCGGCCCATTCTCTCCTTCCTCCCCCTCCTCCCTGCTGGGCCGGCCGCAGGCCGAGGCCCAGCCAGGCCGCCCCGCCGCCCTCCTCTCCCGGGGTCGCCGACAGGTGGGGCCCACCTGTCGGGTCCTTCCCCCACCTCTAGCCGATGCCGCGCCGCAACCGCCGCGCCCGCAACCGCCGCCGCGTCCACGCCTCCGCCTCCTCCGGGCCACGTCGACCACCCCGCGCGTGCGCCGCTTCTCCCGCGCCCACTCCCCTCTCTCTCCCGCTCGCGCCCGCGCCCGAGATGGCCGGGATTCGATTTTCGAATCCCGCCTTTCTCTCCTTCCCCACTCCCCCACGTCGGCCGGCGATTTCCGCCTCTCCCGGCCACGTCCGGTCCTCTCTCTCCCTATTTAAGCTTCCCCGTCGCCCCCTCTCGCTTTTTCCCCATTTCGCCGACCTCTCCCGAGCTCCCCATCGCCCCCGCGCCGTGCGCCCATCCGCCGCCGCCTCTCCGCTACTCCGGCCGCCGCTAGCCGCCGCTAGGCTCGCCGCCGTCTTGCGCCGTCGCCGCCGTTGGGTTCGTGCGGTCGAGGTCCACCTCGTCCACCCCTCCTCCGTCGAGGTTCGCCGCCGGAGCCCCATCCCCGTCGTGCACCGGTGAGTGACGCCATGGCCGCCGCCTTCGGCCGGCGCCCTCGCCCTCTCGCACTCTCCTCTCTCCCTCTAACCCCTCTCCTTTTGTTCGTTAGGAGGCTCCGGAGCTCGTCCCGCCGTCGCCATCGTCCTCCGTCGCTCGCCGTCGTCGATCGTTGTCGGTGAGGTCTGTCCTCCTCTTTCTCTCTCTCCCGCACCGTTTAGCCGTCGCACCGCCGCTTAGCCGCGTAGCTGCCGCTTCGCCGCTCTCCGCCGCCGGTCAGTCGCCGCCGGCCGCCGTCTCGCGCCGCTGCCGCATGCGCGCCGCGCCGTCGCGCGCCATGGCCGCCGGGCCGGTTTGCGCCGTGCCCGCGCGCACCGGCCGCGAGCTCCCGCGGCCGTCCGATCTACCCTTGGGTAGATCGGGGCCATCGGTTCGGCTGCCACGTGGTGCGCCGCTCCTCCCCGGTGCGTGGACCCGATCCGCCGTGGACCGCTTTCCCCCGAGTCACTGCCATGCGGGTCCCGCTTGCCGGCGCCCCTTCCTCCCTCTCCCGAGCCGCTGACCGTGGGGCCCGCTTGCCGGTGCCGCACCCCCGACGTCAGCCCTGGGATTTATTGCGCAATAAATGATTTAAGGTTTTTCTTGTATAGTAATAAACACAGTGAATCTTCTAAAATTCATAACTAATTCATCCGAGCTCCGTTTAAGCCCATTCAAGTCTCAGTAAATCAAGAAAAATGTGTAGAATCCATTAAAAATGGTTTTGTTCCCTGTTTCAGTAGTCTTATAGCCTGTTTGCAATGTTTGCTTTGTATGTCGCTAGATTCCGATTCCTCCGACGCTCCGGTGTACTTCGAAATAGTTGCCGAGGTTCCTCCAGCAGCAGAGCAAGGCAAGTCATGCTTGTCACTTGAACATGTTGATCCTATATTGCAAATGCTCTATTGTTTTGTTTCAAATATTGCATTGTTTTATAACACTACTATGGGTTGTTTACCTATTGTCATAGCCACGCTATTGTTGTACATTGTTTCTTTGTCAACTTGGGGTTCCAACATGATTAGAGTTAGGACTAGGGATTGCTTAGCCATGCTTAGTTCAACTAGTTCACGTTGGGGAAAATCCTATTAATGTTTAGACTGCTGGTTCTAATTGTTTTGTTGGATTAGTGACATCGCTTTGGTGTTGGTTAATTAAAATAAATCACATGGTGGGCTGTGGGTGCATGGTTTTGCTGGTCGCACCCATGGCAGTTAAGGACCGGTTCGCGGGATGCCCTGGAAGAACTTAACGTACTTACCACAAGCCAGCGTGGGCAACGGCTGGGCTTGTAGTGTAGCTTTCCTCTAGCCGACGCATCCAGGCAAGGGTGGGCGTGATGGAGTTTGGATGGGCCCTGCGACGGCCTATGCGGCTTCCGGATTCACCTAGGCACGAGAGGGGACTGCCCGCTGCCTTGCGAGGAGTGGGGGTGAAACCTGAGGTGTGGTGTGCTTGGTTAGAGGGGGTTATGCGAATGGTCCTGTCACGGCCTCTTTCCGGTATGTCGTGGTGGCATGTCGGCGCACGGAAACGTGTCGTGGGGCTGTGTCTTGTGGGTACAGTTGTACACCTCTGATCAGAGTAAAACTATTCGAATAGCCGTGCCCGCGGTTACGGGCGGTCAACCAGATTCACCGTGATTAGTCTCACCCTAGTGTAATCTTTTGAATTTGGATAGTTTAGGTGGATGGTTGGGCCTGTCGCAACGTGGGTTAGCGTTGGACAGTGGATAGTTGATATTAATTAATTATTACAACTGTTTTAATCTTTCGACTTATGTTTATAAATGCTCGCTTTATGCAAATGAACCACTCTAGCTCTTCTTGATAATTCCGTGCATCATACCCCTATTCCGGTATGACTTGCTGAGTACAGTGGGTAGTATTCAGTCTTGCTCTACTTTTCCCAACCCCAGAGCTCGAGTTTGTGTCAGATGAAGGTTTCTCCGAGGAGTAGGCTTCGTCCGTGCCGTCGAGGATGCCTGTGGAGTGGTGTTCCCGCTGCAGTTCTAGTCAAGGCTTAGCTCCTGTTGTCTTTCTTTCCTTCCGCTGCATTTATGTAAGACTTTTACGATGTTTGTAAGACGTGGATCTGAATGTCAACATTGTCGTTTGTGTACCCCGGCTGGTCCTGGACGGGGAATTTAATGCACATTCTGCTTGAAATTCTATTCGGGAATTTCTGGGCGTGACAATGGCTCGGTCCCCCCCATCTTGCGGAGCCGTTTCTTCTTTCGCTCCCCCTCGGGCTGCGGCGCCGGCACGGCACCCTCCGGGCGCCTGCTGCTGGCACGCACCGCCCCACCCCCTCGGGGAGGAGATGGGGGAGGGGTACCCTCCTGCTTCCTCTTCCCCCGGGCGTCGGCAGGGCGGCTGCCCCCCGGGCCCCCGTCACGTGGCCCAGAAGCACGACCCCCTCCCGGGGTAGATTGTTCCCCCTTGCGGCTCCCGCCCGCGCCATCGTGGCCTCGGGGGGTCCGTTCCCCCGACGCCCCGACCTCCTGCATGATGGTCAGGATGTTGGCGCGCTCTGGATCGCAGCAGAGGGGGAGGACCCCTTGGGGGATGAGGGATGCCTCCACGGAGCTGAGATTCAGCACCAGTTGGACCACCATCCTGAAGTCCTCAGGGTCCCAGTCCCATTGGCGCCCCTGGTGGGTCCTCATGTAGTCCTCGAGCCCGGTGTACTCCCAGGCGCCCCGGGCGCGCTGCTGGAGCGGCGCGATCCGGCGACGAAGGTAGTCACCGAACACCATGGCCCCCGTGAGCCCCTGGGATCGCAGACCCGCCAGGCGGTCAAGAACGGCGTCGTAGCCGTCTCCCAGATCTACCGTCGCCCGCCAGCTGGAGGCCTGCGCCGGGGGCTGGCTCGGAAGTCGGAGGCGCGCTTCGTCGGCGAGGGGGGTGTAGAACCCATCGCTCTTCCAGTCGTCCCACTTCTTGCGGAGGACGCAGGGAATGTAGCGGTTCAGCACCTGCCCCCGCGGCTGGAAGTAGCAGCCACCGACTACCGACGGCGGTGACACCGGCTGTACGGTGAAGAACCACCGGAACAGCCGGAGAGATGGGCGCACCCCGATAAACATCTCGCACAGGTGTGCGAAGATGGCCAACGTCATTATCGCGTTGGGGGTGAGGTGCGCCATCTGGAGATCGTAAAACTCCAGAATATCCATGAAAAAAGCAGAGAATGGCGGGACCAGCCCCGCCATTGCGAAAGAGAGGAAGAAGACGGACCACCCCGGGTAGTGTGGCGCCGGGCATCCCTCGCCCAGCGCGACCACCTCCCGGCCGGTGGCAGATTCCGGCATGAATCGGCGCGGCAGCCCGGCCTGCCTCTCGCTCACGATGCGGGAAGGCGGCAGCACGCTACCGTCGAGCGGTGCGGAGCCCCGTGCCATGACGCCGGCGGAGGAGGAGCTTGAGAGCGAGCGAGTGCGGCAAGGGTAGGGCACAGGAAACGAGGAGTTAGAGCGCAAGTGGCGAAGGCAAGGGGAATAGTGGCGAGAGGAAGGAAACGAATCTCTTCCTCGGCCTCTTTATACCCTTGCCAACGCTATGCCCGGCTCCTCGTTTCCCGCGCCCACTATCTCGCCCCCTCGTTTCTCATGCTCGCGCCTCCACTAACCCCACTCGCCCGTTTGCGGCGCACGCGGCGTATGTGCGACCGTGGCAGTTGAGATGGGACAGATCGTGCGCGCATCAACTACGCTCGCCAACCGTGAAAAGCGCCATCATCATGTCTCCAGGCGAAACGAACCGGCTCGTCCCGATTCGCGCGCCGCTCGAGTAATGTAGCGGTCTTGAAGAGGCCACTCATTATTGTCGGTCGGTTTCCCCTTGCCGATGCGCGCGATTTGCGACCGCTGGGTTCCCGCCCGCCTGTAGGGACCGGCCCCACTTGTCACCGGGCCTAAGGAGTGGCGTCACGCCCCAGTGCCTCCCTCGAGGGGGGCGGTCGCCCTGGCGTAACGCCGGGGGCTACTGTCGGTGACATGGGGCCGGGGGTATCGTGACTAGAGGCTTGGGTAGCCGCGATCACCCACGTGGCCCGACTCCCTCGGGGGGGTCGGGCCCGAGGGTGACGTGGCCACCCCTCCCTCTGTCTCCCCGAGGGGTCGGGCCGCTCCCGTTTCGGCCCCGAGGGCTGGGACGCCCCGACCCCCTGTGGTTTTGGCGCCACGTGTGTGGGATAGGTGTAGACCCCCGATTTTGAAAATCGGAAATCTTCTGTGTTTATCCGTACCAATCCCTGGATCAGTAGTTGGTACACACATACATAGTTGGATCACAACATATCACGAATGAATTTAGGCTAAAAGAGTTAAACACTTACATTAGGGCCAGGTAGGCCAACAACTATCAGAGAACAACAGCGGAAGACAAAATAATATAAGGGCCCGGTTAACATGCCACAGGCAGTCGACTGGGGAACGAGACCTAGAACAAGACCGCACTCCGATCATCTTGTGGGATACGCAAGCGTACCGACAAGGGCTTCTCTTCAACACACTCCTAAAAGATATATAAATAGCAAGGGTGAGTACCAACCGTACTCAGCAAGCCACCACAACAACAATGCATATGATAGAGGGTATTCAAGGAATGGTTTTAGGTTCTTTTGCATAAAGCTGCGTTTTGCAAATATTTTCACAAGCCTAAGACCTATCATAGACTGATCAAATTTTAGTTCCAGTGTTCACATTAAACAACGATGGTTCTGTCCACCATCCATTGTGATCCCAAGGATAGCTTCCCGCCATTGAGTCGTCATGGTTTTCTGAGGACGTCCACCTTCCCTCCTCTCAGGAAGTGGCTCCATCAGCATAAAAATCACCATGCAATATCCCATCCCACACAAGTTAAGAATTTAGAGTCTAGCCAAGTGTAATACATGTCCCGGTGCTCATTAACCGCGAGCACGGCTATTCGAATAGATTTGGTTTTCTCACACTGCAGTGGATGTACACTTTACCCGCACTCCGCGACTGCCCAACACATGAGCCTCGTCCCAACACATGAGACGCGTCACGGCAAAGCTTTTCGATAACCTCGCATTGGCAGTACCCGCTCCATGAACTTTTCATCCTCATGCACTCTAGGCGTACACGGTTTCTAGCAGTGAGAGGAGTTCTGGCGCACCCGGGAAGGGAAGACTCACACATGCATTAAGTTATAATTATGTTTTAGATTCTCACATGGCAGTCCTACCGATGGCGACACCACTGTAGACACCCGCCTCGCGGTCCTACCAATGGCTGTCCCACCGTAGAGCCCCTGCCTCACACATCAAGAAACCACTATGCATGGATACTGCCTCCGCTCAGCTATCTACTCCGCTAGGTCTATACCCATACGAGAAGTGCGGTTGTACGGGGGTCGTTTCATGCTTAACTTCATGGCTCGGTCCTTAATTGACCAGGGACGGTACTAGCCTTTTCCAGATACCACCCAAATCCTCCGTCCGCCCCAGTCGAAAACAGTTGTTTAATTTTATTTCCACTTTCACAAATCATGTCATCAACATCATGGCAATGTGGCGCTCATGTCTCCACATGCCGCATCTCAATTACCTTCCCAAAGGTAATTGCCCAAGCATATAGCATTTGATAAATATGAGTATGCATGATTCTAGAATAGCCTTTCTAAGCAATTGTCATAGTTGACTAGGGACTCATACGTAAACATGGTTACAAAGATTTAAGGGTAAACAATAATCAAGGCATGGCATAATCACAAGTAGGATGTTCATCATTGCATGCAATTTTATTTATAAACAAAACAATTTCGCAATTGGGATCAACATGCTCAAGGAATAGTGATGACTTGCCTGCTCAGGA